GGGGGGGGGCGTTAGTAGATAGGCCTTGCATCCCAATAACAATAATATCCCAAAGCAACCCCAATTTTTTAAAAGTCATTTTCCTCATGCCAGGAAGGTGTGAGGAGGAAGAAAATGTCAGCTGGGTAAGTTTTTTAATGTTTGGGGTTATTTCGGGATTTGCTGGAAGGGGGTGTGTGCTCGTTCATTTTGGGGGGTGGGGGGCTACCGGAGCCTGCAAAATCAAGATGGCTGTGTGGTTTGGGCCCGGTCCCTGTGCTCATTCCACACAGGGCTCACACCTGGAAGGACCTGGATCTTACCTATTTCAAATTTATTTATTATTATTTCAAAGTTTTCTATACCGAGCTTCTCATCTCTTAGAGGGACTCAGCCATGAGTTTACAACCATGTTTACAACCATGAAAACATACAATCAGTAAAATATCATAGTTCATAATTACAATAACACATTTAAAATAACAACTATATTTAAAACTACGGTGGTCAGTCGTCATATTAAAAACAAGTATACCTCATCTTCCATCCACAATCCTAGGGTGCTGTCTCATTCATCGAAAGCCTGTCTCCACAACCATGTCTTCACCCATTTCCTGAATGTCAGGATAGACGGGGCGGTTCTGACCTCCGGTGGGAGAGAGTTCCAGAGTCGTGGGGCCACCACCGAGAAGGCCCTGTCCCTCGTCCCCACCAGGCGCTTGTGAGGCCGGTGGGACCGAGAGCAGGGCCTCTCCAGACGATCTTAATAATCTTGATGGTTCATAGGGGAGAATACGTTCGGAGAGGTAAACAGGGCTGGAGTCGTTTAGGGCTTTATAGGTTAACACCAGCACTTTGAATTGTGCTCGGAAGCTAATTGGCAGCCAGTGGAGCTGGTGTAACAGCGGAGTGGTGTGCTCCCTGTACCCAGCACCCGTTAGTAATCTGGCTGCCGAGTGTTGGACTTGCTGCAGCTTCCGGGCAGTCTTCAGAGGCAACCCCACGTAGAGATCTTACCAGCTGTTTCATTGATTCAGAATAAGGCAGAGAAACCGAATTACAGTAATTCGGTTTTACCAGATACATCATTTGGATGCCTCTGGTTAAACTGCAACAGGTCTGTGAGGCCATGGAGGCACCCTGCCCAAGGGTTGTAAGGCAACAAGGCCAAAGAGGTGTTGCTATGGCCCTGTGCAGGTGTTGCTATGGCTAGCAGAGGGCAACTAGGCTGTTGAATTACTCTTGCTGTGATACTGCCATATTGCCCTAGTTCTGCAATAGACTTATATTTACAGAAAAACTGCTGCAGAGAAGCATGGCACCCCCATCATGGCACCTTCCTCCTTCCCTTGTGTTGTGGGAGTGTGTGTTGGGGGGGGGGCAGAGAGTCAGTGTGTGCAAAGAGTGTGGCCTTCCTCCCAATTCCCCCCCCCCCCCAGACTCTGCCCTTTGATCCCTTGCCTTAGAGTGTGCTAGGGGCTAGAGAGACATGCAGGGAACAGCAACTGCTGCTGCTGTTTCGGAACCCTCATTCTGTATCCTCAGATCGAGGGGCAGGGGGCAGGAGAGGTGTGTTGTCTTCTTCCTTTTTTGAATTTAAAGGTGTTTTGTGGGGCTATTTTTCAGTGATGGTCACTCCTTGGATTATGAAGAGTTTTGTTGCCAAATTTGGGGTCATTTGGCCCTGTAGATTTTTTGTTTTTAGGGAACTCAATATGCACTGAGCATTGTTATATATATAGATAGATTGTCGTTAATTTCTCCATCTTCTCATATTTACTTCATTTCCTTTCCTTTTCAAAGAAGAAAAAGGAGTCATTTAATCCGTAGGATTTTGGGGTTTGCTTTGATAGTCTTTCAAAAAATAAGTCAACCTATCTATGTTCTTTACATCCATTATTTTTAATTTCCAATCTTCTTTCGTTGGATTTTCTTTAGTCTTCCAATTTCTTGCATATACAATTCTGGCTGCCATTATCATATAATTAAATAGGATATCTTGATTCTTATTCATATTCATGTCTGTTATTCCCAGTAGGTAATACTCAGGCTTCATTTGGAATTTTATTTTCAAAATTTTCTGTATAGTTTCATGAATCATTTTCCAATAATTTTTAGTATTTTTACATCCCCACCACATGTGGAAAAAAGTTCCGATTTGCATACCGCATTTCCAGCAACAATCTTTAATGTTTTTTCTAAAATTTGGCCAATTTTTGTGGTGTGATGTACCACTGGTACATCGTCTTGTACCAGTTTTCTTGAAGGTTGAATGAATAAGTGTACTTTGTTTTCTTCTTCCACATTAATTCCCATTCTTGCATTGTTACTGGTCTTCTAATATGGGCAGTCCACTTGATCATGCAGTCCTTGACTTGTTCTTGTTCTGTAGACGATTGTAACAAAGTTATATATATTTTTGCTATTGTCTTCTTTTCCGTCACCATTATTTTATCCCATATTGTATCCTTGTCTAAGAAGCCTAATTTTTTGTCTTTGTGATAGAATTCTTGAATTTGTCTGTATTGGAGCCATGTTATATTCTTATATGTTAGACTTAATTCTTCTTGACTTTTTATTGTGTAGATACCTTTCTGTAGTTTAAGGATATCTTTGTATGTTGGCCAATTTTCTCTGCCCCATTCTCTTCTGTGGATTGCTTCTAATAGGGAAATCCAAAGTGACGTTTTCTGATAGAATTTTGGCTTGTAATTATCCCAAATCTTATAAAGCCGAGCGCACAAAGTGATTTTATTCCTCTATTCTCTGTCTGAATTCAAAGAGACTGAAATATATATTGTTACCCTGTTTGAACCATTGAACTAAAGTAAAGGTACTGTTACTTGTTTCACAAGCCTGAGTGACATTTTATTATATCGCAGGGTATATCATCCGGGGTTTTGGAGTTAGGTGCCATCTCTATGCAGATGACACACAACTCTACTACTCCTTTCCACCTAATTCCAAGGAGGCCCCTTGAGTGCTGAACGAGTGCCTGGCCGCTGTGGCTATCTGGATGAGGAAGAACAAGCTGAAGATCAATCCCGACAAGACAGAGGTCCTCCTGGTCAATCGTAAACCGGATCGGGATATAGGGTAGCAACCTGTGCTGGATGGGGTTGCACTCCCCCTGAAGTCACAGGTCCGCAGCTTGGGGGTTCTTCTGGATTCATCACTTACGCTTGATGCTCAGGCGTCGGCGGTGTCCGGGAGGGCTTTCACACAATTAAGACTTGTGCGCCAGCTGCGACCATACCTCGCAAAGGCTGATTTGGCCGGGGTGGTCCACGCCTTAGTCACCTCCAGATTGGATTACTGTGATGCGCTCTATTTATTTATTTATTTATTTGGGGTTCTTTTACCCCGCCCTTCTCACCCCGAAGGGGACCCAGGGCGGCTTACACAGTAAAGGCACGATTAGATGCCAGCATCACAACAATCATCTCAACTTACAATAAAATTCACAATTACTAACATCTTCATGCATTATTCCAATAAAAATCAATAAAATCAATACAAACCTAGATTCCTCCCTTACATTGTCAGTGTTTGCTGTCTCATAGATCCATTTTTAATACCATTTCGTCCATCCTGCTGGTCTTTAATTGCCTGGTTGCCCAAAGGCCTGGTCCCATAACCAAGTTTTCACCCTCCTCCTGAAGGAGAGGAGGGATGGTGCTGCTCTGATTTCCCCGGGGAGTGAGTTCCACAGGTGAGGGGCCACCACTGAGAAAGCCCTGCTCCTCGTCCCCACCAGCCTCACTTGTGAGAGTGGTGGGGTCGAGAGCAGGACCTCCCCAGATGATCTCAAGCTCCGAGGCGGGACGTAGCGGGAGATGCGTTCGGACAGATACAGTGGACCGGAACCGTACAGGGTTTTATAGGTCAAGACCAGTGCAATGCGCTCTACGTGGGGCTGCCCTTGAAAACGGCTCGGAAATTCCAACTGGTTCAACGGGCGGTGGCCAGGATGTTAACTGGTGCTCCTTACAGAGAGAGGTCAACCCTCCTGTTTAAGGAGCTCCATTGGCTGCCGTTTACCTACCGAACCCAATTCAAGGTGCAGGTGCTTACCTACAAAGCCCTAAACGGTTTGGGACCTGCCTACCTCCGTGACCGCATCTCCGCTTATGTACCCACACGCTCCCTTCGGTCATCTGGAGAGGCCCTGCTTGCGATCCCACCTGCGTCGCAGGCGCGTTTGGTGGGGACGAGGGACAGGGCCTTTTCTGTGGTTGCCCCCCGACTTTGGAACGACCTCCCCAAAGACATTAGACTAGCATCCCACGTTGGCAGTCTTTAGGAAGAACTTGAAGACCTGGCTATTCCGACGTGCCTTTCCAGAATAGGATAACCCAGCACTTTGTCCCAGAAGCACTTTACTAGAGTTTAAGACTCTCTGCACATTGCACTTGCCCAGAATTCCAATACACCTCCTGTCACACCCAGCACTTTTTAACCTGTACCCATCATTGGCCCGGCCATGGTTTTTATTGTGTAATAGTGTAATGTTTTGTTATTGCTTATGTTTTTAATTTGCTTTCTTTTGTATTGTTGTTGTTTATGAGGCCTTGGCCTTTGTAAACCGCATCGAGTCCTTCGGGAGATTCTAGCGGGGTACAAATAAAGTTTAATAATAATAATAATAATAATAATAATAATAATAATAATATCTTGGTTTAAATACTGTGGTAAAGATTCTGCTTATTCACATTTACCAACCCTCACACCCTATGGGTGAATCTGAGCCAGTCATTTCCTTTCTCAGTCTAACCTACAACAACTATAAGAATTAAGTAAAACTAATATGCATACATCACCCTGATATGGTAGGATACAAATCTAAGGGGGGGGGGACCCACAAATATAGTAAGGAGAATATTTTATCTTTCAGTATTACAAGTATAACACCCATGGATTGGAGGGTAATTCAACAATAAATTTGTTTAAATCCGTTCTGTACATTTAATATTTAAGAAGCTCTGGCATCCATCAAATTTATTTTAAAGATTAAAAAGATCTCACATTTTCAAGTGTGTGTTTATTGATTGAGCCGATATAGCATGAACTTTTTATAAGAACTTGAAGCTGCCTACAATTAATGACATAGAAAGAATAATCAACACCATCTTTTACAAACTGGAACTGAGATAATGAAAAATTCTACAATCCAGTTAAAATAAAACCTTTAAACATCATATTTCAGTACTCTTCAAATGCTGAAATCCCATACACATTGTTTAATCAGCAGCAGCAACAGCAGCAGCATGGAGGAGGGGATAACTCAAGTTCTCTTTCAGCATTTACTGCTTCTCTCCTGAGGTTAGGTGCAAAAATATACAGCTGAATACCCATGTGCATTGGGGCCCCAGGCATATCTTGACATGGGTGGTTGTGGATTTGGAATGTGCCTCTTAAAAGACAACCTGAAAACAGAAAGACCAAGCAAGCAAAAGCAAATGCAATTTGGAATGGAAGGAATTAAGAATATTAATTAAAACTAGTTTCCTCAAAAGGTACGTCAGAACTAGGCAGCAAAACTAGAATTCAAAGCACAAATAAACTCCCTGGCCTTCTTCTTTTAGCCTTCATTGACTGCTATGACTGTAGTACATGCCTCTTACTCAGTGTTGGTAGAACTTCTAGTTTTCTTATGAAAGCCCTTGACTTCTGATAATGCCCCTCAGTTTGTTACTGAATGTCATTTCATATTATGGGCTCTTCAGATGCCACTTAATATAGACTGTTCCACTGGATCTCTTGATATCTCCTTTTTTAGAAGAATGACACATCAAAAATATGAACCAGAAGCAGAGTTTAGGTTGTTGTCAGTTTCCATAACTTCACAAATACTTCTACAGATTAAAATTTCAAAATTCTCAAGGAAAACCTATCTCCTCCTCACCCCAGCCAGCATATATATTTTCTTAGGGGGCAAAATATTATATATATGTCCCATTTTATTTACTTATAGTCTCTTTTCTACACATCCTCAATAGTCCTATAAAATGGAAAATTTAGCACAATATTTAATTCACTAGAAGCCTCAACATAAAGTTTCCTAGTTTTCACCATAAATCCCCAATTTAGAACATCAGCTATAAGACAAGTAGGAGGGGAATTATTACTGTCACATTTGAGACAAAAATTGCTTTGGCATTGCTACAAAAAGGCCTGCTTTGTGACTATTGTGTAATAGTTAAGGGTTTATCAGGGTGGGGATGGAATAGAGGAAGGCATGAATGGCAGCTCTTCAGAATAAGAATAATATTTTCCTCATGTATATTTATGGCAAAAGCCTATGAAAATTAACTCGTGTCCCCCTATCCCCCACTGCATTAATGGTGTTTAAAGGAATATTACAGGTTTTGGAGATGTGATAGTGACTTAGGGGTGAACACTCTTTTACTGACAAGCAAGGAAGCATAACATCACAAAATACACATGCAAGTGATGAGAACATTTTTATGCTAGATGCTCAAGACCTTGTTACACCCTGAAACAATTGGGTGTCCTCCTAATTTTGTTGTTTAGATTGGCTAAGCCTAGTAGAACTCTGCTCCATTTCCTTCATAAGTAGTGACATCAATTACTAGTAGCTATGAGACTGCTAGTGTAATATATAAACTAATTAAAGATGCTGAACATGAAAAAGGAAGGAGGGTGAAGAGAGAACAGAAGGGAAGACAAAGAATAAATAGCTTCGGAAATAAGGGTCCATTTTACTCTTTCTTCAGCTGTTAGGGACTGTGAAGATAATGCTACCATTTTATATAAATTAAATAGCAGGTGTAATGAGACAGTTAGGGGTTGGGTATCTTGCTATTAATTCCCTTTGGCAAACTGGCTGGGAAACACATGATCCATATGACTAGATCAGGGTTTCCCACACACCTTCCTTTTCCTCCACTGGATGCTCTGAAGGGTCTGTTAGTTGAATGGAAAGTGGGAGTACTTGGCAAACAGATCTCTCTCTCATAAAACACCAATCACCTTACTTTTCAAATAGTGTTTAAACAAAACAATAGTAAAAACTATATCTAATATATAATAAAGGTGCAAGAAATGATGGCATGGGAATATGTGGAAGGAGGGTTGTCCAGTTCTTTCTCTCTCTTCTTGCTTCCATCAGAGAGACCATTTTCCCCACAACAGTCCTTTCAGTCTGTGAAGCTTGCAAACTCACTTCCCGTACACACTTTCATCACTGTAAGCCACATAGAGAAAATAATCTTCCTCATGGTTATCCTGGAAAAGAAGAAGGCAGGTTGGGGGGGGGGGGGGAATCAAGATAGAGGAGTCATTAAATCACAGTCACTCAGTGAAGTTCTCCAAACAACAACATAATGTAACCAGGGAACCTGATAAAGTTAGACTCAAAGTGGATAAGCTAGTAAATATATCTATAACAGAAATATATCCTAACTAGTCCCACACTAACCGAAATAGGCCAAATAACATCCTAGGTATATCTTACCGCATTTGTGTACTTGTGTATGGCTACACGTGTGTTGTGCCTTCCTTTTCCATTCCACTGTTCCATTCCACCACAGATCACCTGATTTTCATTTCAAAAAAAGTTTCATTCCCACAGAATGCCACTAAATGTGAACATTTCCATTATTTCAGCATCTGCTGCTCTGGAGACCAGAACTGGGGAGGTAGAAGAACATCATCTCCACCAACCAGGAAGAGGTCTGCTGCCTGCCTGCTTTACTGCACTTCAACATTCCATGATTTTTGGACCATGGACCATGATTTTGGATGATGTGATTTTATGAATGGGTTTTAAATTGTGTTGTTTAATGTTTTTGGTTTCAATGTAACTGTTTATTTTATTGTATGTTTGTTTATGGCATCCAATTGCTGCCTATTTTGTAAGACCACTCCGAGTCCCCTTCAGGGTGAGATGGGCAGAATATAAATGAAGTAAATAAATTCCTAGTGGACTGCTTCCTAATCCAGACTGCTTCCCTAAGATCTAGGCCCCAGGTTCTTAACCAGTTACTGGCTAACAAGCCAGTGAAATACCTGCTCCATTTGCAAGGGGATAAAAACAGAGTATCTGTTGAGGTGAACTCACCAGCACTGGGATCACTGCCAAATGGGTGATACCAAAGGTGGACCACCCTTTTGTCAGAGCAGCCCAGGGAGCAGCAATTGTGATAATTATGGACAGAAAGAGTTATGGCATGGGGAGAAATTCTTATGATCATGGCAGAAGAGAGAGTCAGGGTGTGATAAATAATGGTACAGGACTCCATCTTCATCACCAGTGTCCTTGTCCCACAATATGGGCAATATAGCGATTCTATTGGTTGTGCTTCCTACCCTACTGTACCGGCAGTCTCCCTCCCTGAATTGGTCTTGGTGATGGTATTGGAGTCCCCTGGCTTGTGCTGGGGGACTAAAATATCCATGCAGACACTGCTCTGACACGAGCAGCTCAGGCTTCATGTCTGCCATGATGATGAACTATCCCAAGTAGTGTCTGGTGCCACCTAGGCTGCAGGACACACACTGGACAGTTTTCTGTACAGGGCAGGATTATGGTTTGAAGGATTTTTTTTGTAGTTCCATTGTCACAGATTGATCACTACTTTGGAAGGTTTAGACTCACTGGGACTCAGAGCCTCTTCGGGAATAGGGAACCAATTAAGATGGTCCATCCCAGTAGAGGTATAGATCCAGGTGGATACCTGATAGATTTTGGGAAGTTTACTGATGGCTTGGCTGGTTATCTTGTTGAAGCCCTGGTTGATCTCTTAACAGTGTTTAAAAACTTCTTATGTTGGTGACAACTGGTTCTGGCAGTTAATATTTTCCTTTCCAGCCTTGCACCAAAACCCTTGCACCTTCCTTCCATATAACAGTTGAAAGGGACTAAGGTCCCATCTACACTGACCATCTAATGCAGTTCGAATCTAGCTTGAAACTGCAGCAGCTAGACAACTAATAGCCACAAAGCATGTTAAAAAGTCCTTAATGCACATCAGTGCTCTGTGGTTTGTATAATTATCACCTGGAGCTTGAACTGGTTCCAGGATTCCCTATGGAATCATCTGCAAAGCAAAACCAATTCTTCAATACTTGTTTGAAATTACATTTAATGTTCAGTGTCAATGGGTCTTAATCCTAAACTTTCTTCAGACACCTCTCAATAAACAAACAGATGATGTAGATGCACAACTTAGTCATTTGTTTCCCCCCGCACTTGATCATTCCATCCCACCACTGAATCATGAAATACCATTATTTGATCCTTCAATTTCACGGCTTGCCACCATATTATTGTGATATAGGTCTGCGCAGGCTGGCCCCATAGTTCCTAGCCTTGGATGCCCACAAACTTTCACCCTGCCTTATGGTCTTTCCTTAAATCCCTCCAACCCTCTTGGAATTCAGTCATGGGCTTCCAGGTGACTTTGAGATAGACACATTTATTTTACAACTAGCTTGGGGGCCCAGCGCTGCCCGGGTTATTTGAGAAAGGTTTGTGATGTATAGGAAGAAATCTCCTTATTGATAAGGAAACCTGTGGCAGAAGCGAGTTAAGAAATAACTGAAAGCATTGACACTGCCATATCTGAAATCACAGAAAAAATATATGGAACAATAATAAAAAGAAAGATTGAATTGTCTAGTCTGGAATGTGAGCAAAAAAGAGACATTTTGTGTGCAAAGGAGGAACAGTAGACAGAATTAGAAAGGAAGAAAAAATAAAGGGAGCAAGAATTAAAGGAGAGAGAGAAGGCAAAACATTCATGAAATGGAAATGTATACTCGGAAATATTTGTTTGTTTGTTTGTTTGACCAGGACACGTATAAGTTAAGTGGCAGATGTTTCAAAATTGCTCCAAACCTATTAAACAAATGTATTGCATCCTGCTTTGTATCAGCTTGAGATCTATTCAGCCTGTGCGGTAACAATTTATCCAAACTACTGAGTGTGTATCTCCTGGGCTTTCTGCTTTAAAGCTCACAACTCCTTTCATTGGTGTTCTGGGGTCAAACCAAATCTGTTCAACCCTTTCCTTATATAGGTTTTCTACATACACGCATACATGTTCACACACACACATATATCCCTGGTATTTCCCAGCTATTGTTGGAACTGCTTCCCCTCCTGATTTCATCCTTTCTTTTCTTTCCCTCCCTTTATACCTCTGCCTTTCCTTTCTCTTCCTTCTTTTTCTTTCTTCCCCTTCCTTCCCTTCCTTTTTTTCCATTCTTTTCCCTTTTTTCTTCCTATCTTCCTCTCCCCTTTCCCCTTTTTCCAGGGTCTCACAATGTAACATGCCTGTCTTTGGGGCTCCTTCCTTCCTCCCTTTCCCTCATACGGATGTCACGTTTCTTTCCCAGAGGGCTACTTCACCAGGCAACAGCCTTTGTGGTACAGAAAGGCATATCTACTTTGACTCTTTTTATATATAGATAAAAGTATAGATTCCTCCACTCTTATCTATATAAATAAAAATGTAATGTTCGTTTGTGGGATTAACATAACTTAAAACCACTGGGTGAATTGACACCAAATTTGGACACAATACACCTATCAGGCCAACAAGTGACCATCACTCATAAAAACACTGAAAAACACAGCAGAAAAGACTTTAAAAGCCAAAAAAGCAAAAAGACACTACAGCGTATGCACAAAAATGACTCCCTCTGGCAAACAAAACACACAATAGCTTATCCACACTCTCTTCCAGACTACAGCTCCCAGTATCCCCTAGACCAGGTCCTTTAGGAGAGGAGGATGATCCAAATTCACTGCTTCCAATCTGCAAGCTTTCTTCTCCTTGGATTTCTTTGAGAGCATCCCAATCCCTGCATATTTGCAATTTCCAATTCCTGGACTGCAACTTCCAGCAATCTTCCAGATAGATAGATTAGATAGAGATAGGTAGGTAGGTAGGTAGGTAGATGGATCAGGAGGACTGCTGGGAATTGTAGTCCAAGAATAGATTGAGAAGGAAGAAAGGGAAGAAAGAGGATAGGAAGCAAACGGTGGGGAGGAAGGGAAGGGAAAGAAGGAAGGAATGAGAGAAGGAAAGAAAAAAGGGAAGGAAGGAGAGAAAGAAAGAATGAGAAGAAGAGGAAAGCTGACCACAGCAAAGTATGGCGGGTACAGCTAATTTCTTCATAAATCTCTGCTAGATCCTTGCATATTTGAGATCTGATACCTGTTTTCTTCTCTGCCCTTCACCCCTAGATCATGGCAAGCTCTCACTGAACTGCCTTGAGTCGCCGATAGGCTGAGAAAGGTGGTATACAAGTATAGTAAGTAAATAAATAAATAAATTAGTGAAAAATGAGTTTTATTCTCTTCATAATTCTTAGGAATTTTTTTCACATTAATTTTAGGGGAACTATTGGTTTACTTCTCTTTAGAAGTTAAACAAGCTGCTCTATTTCTTTCAATGCATACACACACACACACACACACACACACACAAACACACCAGAATCCTAAGGCAGCTTACATTATAAGAAAGATTCTAGCTGAGGATTTTTAAACAGGTCACAAACTACGGAGGGTGACAGCCTGACAATTAGGCCAGTTACCATGGAGACAGTGGCCTGCAAAGATGAATACACTAAAGTTTTGCTTATTGGTAACTAGACTCAGACTCGAGTGCAGGTTTTGAATGACCACTGCAGATAAATAAACAGTAAAATTCGGCTTTAAAAGATATAGGAACTCAGGCAAATTATGTCAACCACTAGTGTAGGGGTCCCCAAACTAAGGCCCAAAAGCTCTCTAATGTCGTTTAACTCGGCCCCTGCCCTAAACGTTAGACTTAGGGTTGACTTGAAGACATATAACAACAATCCTAATTAATTTAACTCTCCCATCACCCAAAAGGAAGCCCACACTACCCATTGAAACACTGATAAGTTTATGTTAGTTAAAACCATTTTCATGTTAATGTATTGTTCTTTCATGATTTTTTGCACTACAAATAAGATATGTAAACTCTGCATAGGAATTTGTTCAATTTTTTTTCAAACTATAGTCTAGCCCCCCAACAGTTTGAGGGACTGGGAACTATGCTTAAAATGTTTGGGACTCCTGTCTTAGTATATATACCCGGTATTATCCAACTGTCTTTGGGACTCTGCCTACCTACTTTACCCTTCTCCAACTCTGAGAAGGCCCACTCACAATGCCTTTAAGGCAGTGTTTCTCAACCTGGGGGTCGGGACCCCTGAGGGGGTCACAAAGGGGTGTCAGAGGGGTCACC